TGTGTGCGGGGGTTAATGACTGTCATTACAATTACCACACAATTGACTGATTAGTCGCCGCAAAGAATTTAATGCTATAATTGGTATATAATTAAAGCAATGATTAGATTAAACGCAATGAATATTCAGACCATTGTTTGCCATATTTGTAGCCAAAGCCTTGACTTTGACTGAAATTCCGTAATAAAACAAACCTGTCTTTAAACGCATTGAATATATCGTGTAATTAATATGTAATTAATTTGAATGTTTGATCCCAACCCACACTACTCGTCCCGACAGTCGACTCGTGACCGAACCCTCGACCAGCAGTGCACTGTCACCCGGCCCGGGGTGTCGATGTTGGCTTCAGCACTGGCCGTAGAGCTCATGGTATCTGTATTACAGCACCCATTGCGGTAAAACAGCATCTCATTGGACATTAGAAAATAGTTAATTATGAAAACTAATTGTTTATTAGAGGGGCGGCGCCGGCACTTGTAGTCAGCGGCGACTACATGGATGAGGTAGACAGCGATGCGGAGACAGCCCTGGGATTAGTGCCGCACCAGATCCGGGGCTTTTTGTCCCGTTTTCAGCAATTGATGATCACTAGTGAACGGTTCACTAAATGCAGCGCCTGTTCCCAAGCCGTACGTACACCACATATACCCATAAAATACATTTTAACGACACAAATATCTGTCCATCAGGTGATCGACGCTTATAATGAAATGGGTTTTGAGTTTCTGTTCAATGCGTTCAATGATAGCAATTATATCGAGTCGTTGACGGGTTTAACACAATTACATAACGAGACACAACTGTCCGACATATGGGTATTGAGTGATTCCGATGAGGATTAGCGCAGGTATTTCGAGAATGCCTAACCTTTTGGTTGGCGCCCATCGAGTGATTAGTTTATGAATTGTTTTTTAATCGATAAATAAATGCAAAACAAGTTTTTACTAATTATTTATATATTTATAATAATTATTATTTTCCTATAATTATAATAACATTCAATAATAATTACAATTAAAAAAAGAATTATTTTTTATCTCATATTTATACTAAAAAATTGTAAATGTTTTTCAGTCATTATTTATATGAAATAAAAACAATAAAACAAATCAAATAAAAGTAATTATAATAATCTATAAAAAAGTTATTATCCGTTAATCAAATGAATTGATTCACTAATCGAGTGGAGGTTTTAATTATTATTTTTTGTGTATATTTTGTGTCCGATATTTATGAAGCAATACTCTGAGCATTATTTGGTTGCGAACCGTCGGCCGACTTCTGGAGCCGAACCCATGTGTCGCCCAACGCTTTGGCGAAGTGGTCGTCCACTATAGCACCGGAAGGGGGAGAGAAACACAGCATTAGTACCACAAATGAGTCGATTAATAGTCACTCAAAATAATTACCCGAATATGTAATGGAGTTATTGTTAGCCGTATTCGTGGAAAACAGTTGTGAATATTGTTTGCCTAACGAACGCCGGAAGTGCTCCTCAATCACCGGATCGCTCACCCCTTCCGCGGGTGCGCTCACTATTAGTCGACGGCTACCAGTTCTACGCTCATCGCCAGGGCTACCGTTCCTCAACTCAACGCCCGGGTCGTTAAAGCCATTGATCGAGTGTTTATTGATTGGTGGGGACACCGAATCCGCATAGGATGGCGGCGGTGGTTGGGCTCCGGGAGGTCCCGACTGCTGGGCTCTCATGAGGGACGAGCCGCAGGTGATGACAGACGGCCGAGTCATCTGTTGGGCAAACAATTGCGATAATGAATGGGTGGCCGACGAGTGGTTGGCAGGACTGACGTTGCGCTGAGATTCGCAGTCCGGAAGGGGTCGGCGCCGGCTTTTGTTGCTGAAGTCGAGGGGCTGGTCGTCGTCGGCGTCCATCGAATCGCCGGACGACTGGCCGGTCATCGAGTGCTGCGAATTGGGATCACTATTGCGTCGGTCTATCGGCGAATGGTTTGTACCGTCGGTGTGGTGCTGGTGGTGGCGCTCGTAGGGAGAGCCCCGGTATGCGGACAACAGGCCGTCACCAGCGGCTGCGGCACTGGGAGCCACGCGTTGACTAAAACCAGTATAAGTAGTATAACTTGTATGCGAGTTGAGTGCGGGTTCGGGTGAACCGCGAGTGTACTGTGCGTGCGATTGGGCCGGAGGTGTAGTGGGGGCCGACTGGCGGACACTGGGGCTGAAGTTGGGGGACAACGAGTGTTCGCCTCTCTCGTAGAGCATCGACTCATCCCTAACGCTAAATATTTAATGAAATAATTGTAACAAAAGTACAAACATTTGTGACTCTAAAGGGTCCACACTTACGGGGAACTACACCTCGCCTTCAGCTTAAAGCTGGAACTGTAGGCCAACTCTCGGCGGTCTTTATTCCTCTTCAGTTTATTCTCTTTTGTCGGCAATTCTTTAATACTATTCGCGAACTTTGTCTGCAATTCATCTGAAAAATTCAATTATGTATTCAATTAATACGAAACACAATAATCGCTCAAAATATAGATATTGTGTAAAGAATTCAAATAATAAGC